GATCCTTTCCTGTTTTGACATGAAATATGCTGTTCAAACATGTTCGTTGTCATCAAGATGGGAGTTTCTCTGGACATCAATGCCTTGTCTTAACTTGTCAAGTAGGGAGTTTAGCTGTTTACCAAAGTTTGCCAAATTTGTGAATCATGTTTTGACTCACCGCAACCATCAAGTAGAAGTGTCTTCTGTAAAGCTACATTTCAATGGAGCAGCTAGTCAGGTTTTCGTGAGAAAAATTGCAAGTTATATGTTCTCTCACAATGTCCAACAACTAACTGTTGTTTGTTTTCCCAAAAAACACCATGAATTCCCTCCTTCCCTTTTTAGCTCTCAGACTCTTAAGCATTTCACATTGAGTAACCGCCCTCTTTATACTTCACCTTGCCTTACACCCAAAACACCTTGGGATTTTCCAGCTTTAGCAACTTTGCATCTTAGCCACATCACATTGTGTGATGATCACACCGAGAAGTCTGTTGATCTTTTCTCCAAATGTGTAAACTTAAAGAACCTCACTTTGGAGTGGTTCACTGTCGAGGCTATTGACATCATTACCCCTCGACTTTCTAATCTCGTGCTTATCAAAGGCAGACGCTCATTGGTCATCAACCTGGTTGCACCTCAACTTGAACATCTCACAATAATTGATTGTTCAATCGATTACTTGAATGCTCCACCAGGGCTTTCATCTTTGTGCTACACGGGTGATCTTCCTCAACAATTCTCCAAAGATGGATTTCATTCTCTGAACAAAGTGTCTATCTGTTGTGATATGTATAGGCAATATAAGGAGAAAGTGGCACGCAAGGCTATTAAAATGCTTCAAGAGCTCCACAGTGCCAGATATCTCACACTTAATGTGGACTTTATTGAGGTATGTTGATATCGATCATGTCACCCCATTTATGACATTCAGTGCTGCTGTCAAATGGGTGTATGATATAAATGAAGTTCAAGATGAGATTTTAATGCATCTTTAATGTATAAATTTGTTGTCAATTTTTTTTTTTGCAGTGTCTTTCCTCTTATCCAAATTTATTATCACACCATCCATCACCTTTTAGCAGCTTAATCTGCTTGACTATAGACTCTAGCATGAGGAATGATGCATACAATGTAAAAATGTCTACCGAAGCTAGAAACTTCTTTCTTGAGAACTCTCCAAATGCCACATTCATCATGGAATTACCCGAGGTACTTTTACAGAATCATATACTCATTGCAACCGTTTTCTCTTAAATTAAAAATTCTTGTAAACTCTGTAGCCTCCACCTACAAAAGCAATGAAGCAGAAAGAAGCTAGGGCAAAAAAGGCTAAACGCGCTGCAGAGATTGCAATCCATATGACAGAATTCCAGGCATTGTTAGATCATGATAATATGAATGTTGAGCGAACACAAGCAAAGGAAAAGGTTAATGTTACCCTTGAGAAGCTCATGGCACAATCAAAAGCTCAAGTAGGGAAGATGCATAACCAGACTGAGAGACTTATGGCAGAGTTTAAGATCTGTGTGGAAGAGGTGCGGGATTTGGTTAATGAAGAAGAAGCAGAAGTTAAAGCAATCATTTCAAAGGGAACCCTAATAAGATCATTACTGGAAGATATGCCTAAGAGAGAGAGGACAGAGGTCGAAGCACGCTACTCTCGACAGCTTGAAGAAATAGAAGCACAACATGTTCGTCTAGCCTCTAGGCTTGTGACTTTAGAAGGAATCTTAGCTTGTGAACAATTCATGTCTCATTGCATCTCAAAATATCTGGCATCATCTAATTCCTCCACAACAGTAAGTTTCTGATTTCATTTATGACTCTGAGTATTCCAAAATCCAATATTGATGGCTTTTTAACTTTTGCTTAATGTAAGATTCCTACACCCTCCACATCGAGCATCAACCCTATGCCGTGAACCACCCACCCAGGTAACCCTTATTCTCTACAACAGTAATTACTACTTAATTAGCGGGGTGGGATGCGTTGGTGGAAATGATTTTTTTTTTTTTTTTTTTTCAAAAAAGAGGCTGATTCAATACCAGTTTCGAACGACGTTACTAATCTGAGATATGGTTTTTGTTTTTGAAAAACTCTCGAATTAGTAACGAGAACGAATACCTTTTTTCCTTAAATTCTAGAACGAACTGGATACACCAAGTTTCACTCCGGCCAATTTGGTATAAATTCAGCTAAATTATTGTTATTATATTTTCTCGTGATGTAGTTTATTAAAAATAATCTATGTATATATTTTTATTAATTTATAGTTAATTAATTAAGTAAATATATTGAAAAGGTTGGGGGTTATACAATACAAATAAAAAAACAAAGGCTTAAAACTTTATATAAATAGAAACAAAATAGATAAGATTTCAATACTTATAAAATAATAATACCTCTATTAGTCACATATTACAAATACGGGTTAATGCATGACTTTTAGCACCACAAGGAAAAAGGCCATTACCGGCGACAAAAGTCGCCGGTAAAAGTCCCAAATGTCGCCGGTACTGATAATAGCGGCGACGCGTCGCCGGTACTGACTCGTCGCTATTGATCAATTTGTCGCCGCTAAAGATAATAGTCGCCGCTATTAGTATGTTGCCGCTACTGACAATTGTCGCCGCTAATAATCTTGTCGCCGGGAATGACATATGTCGCCGCTAATAGTGTCGCCGGCAAAAGTGTCGCCGGTAATGATAACTGTCGCCGGTAAAAGTGTCGCCGGTAATTTGTTTTTCAATTTTTTTTTTTTAAATAACGATTTTCGTTGCCGGTGATAAACACAGTTCATATTACAAACACATATTACAAATACATATTACATAAGAACTATTCTAATCAGAATCTTTCTCATATCCTTCAGTGTCTTCTTCGGTATCATAGTCAGAATCGGTGTCATCGTAATCAGTATCGCAATCAGAAACATCATTGACTCTACCAGTTGGCGGAGGAACTTCAGATGCACTTTCTACATCAACAATGACTCTAGGAATGTTTTGAAAGTACATGCTGAAATCGATAAAAAGTGGAGCATCGGATGAAGAGATATTTTGAAGTACATCGACATCGTCTTCATTTTCGTGTGAGACATTGTCAACATTTTGAACAAGGTCATCGTTCGATGGTAGATCCCAAATACTTCGATGATTAACATGCTCGACAACACACCGATGGTTATTGTTTGGCTCTCTGATGTAGAACACTTGTTTGGCTTGTGACGCATATATGAGTTGATCATCTTTGTATGCTTCGCGTCGTGTGTCGATACTGGTGAAACTATCACTAGAAATAACTCCTATTCGAGTATCAAACCACTTGCAACGAAATAGTACAGTTGAATAATCATGTGTATACCTCAACTCTATAATCTCTTCTAACTGGCCATAATACTTCTCGCCTTTCTCACCCACCGCTAAAACCCCAGAGTTTTGTGTTGTACGTTGTGTGTCACGACTAAGTACCATAAACCTAACACCATTGACTATGCATGCGGTGTAAGAATAGGCATTCATTTGCGGGCCCATTGCAAGAACCGACAACTCTTCGTGGAATTCTGGAGATTTTTCTATTTTCATTTGATGAACCTAACAATTATAAATTAATATGTATTATGTATTCGTTAGATCAATGAAAAAAATTTGTTTATTAATTTATATTACCTTTTCACGAAACCAATTACGAAATTCTCTCTTTTCATCACTTTGGGGATGCTCAGATTTGAATTTCCTATGTTGATGACCAAAAGATATAGATTTTAAAAAGATAAAATAAAAAATTAAGAATGAAAGTTAGAGATAAGATTAATTACTTGATATACTGTCTGACTTCTTCACAGCTATTCAATACAAACCATTCCATGTTATGCATTTCCGTTAAATTAAGAGTTTTGATTTGAGTTGTGCTGGTCGGTCGACATTTAGACTCAAACATCCAAAACTTTGTTTTTTCAATGACAACATCTACATTTCTTTCCGGACGATTCTTTACATCTCGAAGGTACATTGAACAAAATGATAAAGCTTCTTCAGCAACATAACCCTCAGCTATAGAACCTTCTGGCTTCGCCTTGTTTCTGACATAGTTTTTTAGTTTTTTCATATATCTCTCGAATGGAAACATCCATCTCATACAAACCGGGCCTCCAGCAATTGCTTCATCAGGTAAATGCAAAAGTAAATGAACCATAATGTCAAAAAACGCCGGAGGATAAATCAATTCTAACTTGCACAAGATTGCAATAATGTCTACTTTTGCTTTCCTCATATCCTCCACCTTCAATGTTCTGGAACAAAGTTGCTTGAAAAACGTACAAAGGTCTACAATAGGTGTATAAGTATCTTTGTCTAACAACCCTCTTACTCCAATCGGTATCAAACGTTGAATAAGAATGTGGTGGTCATGCGATTTCAACCCAATAATGTTAGTATTGGTATCGTTCACTTTCTTACTAATGTTAGAACCAAACCCATCCGGCAGCTTAACCTCTTTTATAAATTGACAAAAGAGTTGTCGACTAGATTTCGTGAAAGAGTATCTTGCCTGGGGTCTATGAAACTTGTCACCATTTTTTTGCAACCATTCATTTCTCCGAATGTTTAGAATTCTCAAGTCCTCTCGTGCATTTGATGTGTCTTTGCTTTTATCGTTCATTAGGAGAGTACCTAACAAACTCTCATCCACATTTTTTGGACATGCATGACATCTATGTTGTGTTTCAACTGTAGAGAAGACCAATACTCTAGTTCGAAGAAAATGCTTCGCTTCGACCAGTTCAACTCATAATCTTGCCGCTTTGGCTCCCCGCCTCCATGCTCAGGATGTTTACCCGGTTTACGAGTTAGTAGACGACCTAGTTGCTCTTGTATGTCATCATTATTAAAGTGTCTCGGAGCGGGTCTTGTCTCTTCCATCCCATTAAAGTCCAACCTCTTTCTTAACGGATCATTAGCATCTAGGAAACGACGATGACCGATGTATACGACTTTGTTTGTTGCACGGTACGAAGGAGTGTCTTCATTGCAAGTAGCACATGCTCTATACCCTTGCCCACTCCAACCCGATAAACTACTACGAGCTGGCCAATCGTTTATTGTCCACAACAACATAGCTCTCATCGTGAAGAATGTGTTTGTCGCCGCATCTTTAATACGTACGCCTGAGTTCCACAAATGTTTAAGCTCTTCCACCAACGGTCTAAGGAAAACATCCATATCCTTACCTGGAGCTTTCGGTCCTGGAATCAACAAAGTCAACATGAATGATGACTCTTTCATACAAAGCCAGGGTGACAGATTGTATGTGGTGAGTATGACCGGCCATGTGCTATGTGGATTACACATGTTTCCAAATGGATTGAAACTGTCAGCTGAAAGACCTAGGCGTACGTTACGGGGTTCACTCGAGAAGTCGGGGTATTTTTTATCAAAATCTTGCCAATGTTCCCCATCAACAGGATGAATCATCACACCATCTTCTGAACGTCTGGTACTATGCCAAATCATATTTTTGGCAGTGTGCCTCGAACAATATAAACGTCGTAGTCTAGGGGTCACAGGAAAGTACCGTAACACCTTATGAGGTACTTTCTTACCCTTGGTGTTTTTATCGATCCATCGGCTCTCTTTACAAACGGGACAAACTTGCAATGAATCATGTTCTTTCCAAAAGAGACAACAATCGTTTTTACACACATGTATCGACTCATACCCCAGGCCAATAGACTTTAGTTTCTTCTTGGCTAGATAATGTGAAAGGGGAACCTTGTTGCCTTTGGGAAATGCTAATTGCAAGAGCTCAAGGAGTTGATCAAATGAACTATCAGTCCATTTGTTGTTCACCTTGATATGCATTAACTTTGCTAGAAACTCAAGGGAAGAAAAGATGCAACCAGTATACAATTGAGTTTCCATTTCCTCCAACAACTGTGCAAAATCATCATCCACACCGCTACCCCTTGTATTCGAGGTTCCTTCATCGAGGTTGGTATCATTTTCTCTCGACTCCCACATCACATCGTCGATTAAATCGGCCATTTCGTTACTTGGCAAGACGACGGGAGGAATAAAAGATTCACCATGATAGATCCAAATTTTGTACGCCTTACGGAAACCATTTATAAATATATGGCGTTCAACTACAGTCGGGTACTTGAAATAACGGTTATCACATTTTTCACACGCACATCTGATTTTACCATTACTATCAACGTGCAACTTCGACTTCTCAATAAAAGCTTTGAGTCCTGCTTGGAACTCGGGATGGTTTCGATATGGATTAGTAGTCCAGCTTTTATCAATAGACATGATGTTGCTGAAACATAATTTTGGGTTTAGAGTTTAGTATACAGAATTAGCATTGTTTTTTTTTTCAATCCACATTTTTTTACATCTAAAATAATACAAAAATTAAGTAATAAAGAAATGAAAAAAATAAATTAAAAATTTTATTTATGCATTTTTTAAATTAATTTTAATTAAAATTACTTGTAAGTTAGCTTGGGTAAAAACTAGAAGCTTTCTAGTTTTTGTATATAAGTTTTTAAACAATTTTATAGTTTTTTTTGTGTTTTTTTTTTCAATTTATAAAAATAATGTATTTTTTTTTTCAATTATAGCATCCTACTTATAAGAAAACCACATACTTTTACATACGTATTATGTTGTTGTGTTGTATTTTTTACCGTCGAGATTAAAATGTATATAAGTTTTTAAAGATTTTTATAATTTTTTTTGTGTTTTTTTTTTCCAATTATAAGTTAACTATATAACTTATTGGTTAATTAATTTGGAGTTAGCTTGGGTAAAAACTAGAAGCTTTCTAGTTTTTGTATATAAGTTTTTAAACAATTTTATAGTTTTTTTTTGTGTTTTTTTTTTCAATTTATAAAAATAATGTATTTTTTTTAAATTTCAATTATAGCATCCTACTTATACCAAAACCACATAGTTTTACATAATACATAAGAAGGTGAAATTTACATACATATACCACATATACATCAAATACAAATACACACAAAATAACATCCTATTTAAACCAAATACACATAATTTCACATATATACATAATAACATCCTATTTATACCAAATACAAAAGTTTCACAATCATATATCACATTTACAACAAACATACATACATTCACATACACACAATAACATTCTACTTATAACAAATACATATAACTTCTACTAATATACCACATATACATCAAACACACATACATTGGAATATATATACCAAATTCACATATATTCAAACAAATACAAAATATACAATCCAATTTTCACATATGACAATTATCACATAATTTCACATATAAATACAACTTGAAGCTATACAATTAATTGCAATTAAATAACCACAAACAAAAAATTGAATAACTTGCTTCTAATCCAAAACAATACCACCAAAAACAAAAATATGAACAATTTATTATCATTCAATCACTACATAAAGCTACAAATCAAAATTCATACAAAATAAAAAAGAAATCATAAAAAAAAAAACTTACCTTTCTTCAACAAATGGAGGCACCTACAAATTGATCACAAAGCTTTAACCACTTGCTTGGAACAATGCTTCTAATCCAAAACAACACCACCAAAAATAAAGAACATGAGCAATTTATTATCATTCATACAACACAAAAATGAAATCATCAAAATAAAACTTACCTTTCTTCAAGAAATGGAGGTAGAAATTGATCCCAAAGCTTTAACCACACCTAGGGACACTTGCTTGGAACAATGAGGGGAGAAATTTGCTAGAAAGAAGCAGATTGAAGAAGAAATCGGAAAAATGGTGAAGGAACTCAAAGCAAATAGAAAGGGAAATGAAGAAGGTACTGTAATCTGCGTGCGTTTTTTTTTTTTTTATCTGGGATCATCAATAGCGGCGACACCTTTAGCGGCGACGCGAGGTCAATACCGGCGACAATTGTTAATAGCGGCGACAAACTGGAGGGAAGGGTACCGCGTCATTTTTAGCACACAATTAGCAGCGACTTTTTTAGAGTTTTAGTGGCGACATGCGTGTCGCCGGTATTAGGTTAGACCGGATAAGGCACCCCACCCGTTGGATTGGATATCTCATCGAACGGTTGAGATGCAATGTAGGGGGAAAGTGCGGATTCGGGTGACAACCCTTTAGCGGCGACACTTTTAGCGGCGACTATTGGCTTTACCGGCGACTCTAGCTAGAGTCGCCGGTAAAGCCAATAGTCGCCGCTAAAAGTGTCGCCGCTAAAGGATATATTTCTTGTAGTGTAGTACTGAGATTCAGCCGTAACTTTAACACCTAGCTTCATCTTTTATTGGCAGGGATGTTAAGGATTATGCCAATATGAAGATGTTAGTCCTCATTGGATTCATGAAAAAGTCGGATGTATCATCGTTTGAATTGGGTTTTGTTACATAAATTAATGAATCTTACTCTTTTGGTTCTTTTTTCTACAGATTTTTTTTTATTACTATATGCCTTAGCGAATGTTAATGATTTTTTTTTAAAGATTACAACACAAAAACTCAGTTCTTTACAACAATGTCACTCCTTGCAATAATGTCACTCAATTTCTTTTTGTTGTTCCTCTAGTTGACTGTTTCACAGCTCTCGATAGCAGCTTTCATATAAAAATAAGCATCGTCGGTGAAAATTCTTTGCAACAACAAAAATGCTAATGTTATGGGCAAAAGTGGAAATGAGTTGTGAATTGAACAAAAACAATAGTCTTCTTCACAGAGATAATCACATTGGTTGGTACTAGAGGACTTTGCAACCGCTTTTATCTTATTTTATTCATCATGTATGACCTATAGACATACTTTTGACCACAAAGATATTTGAAAGAAATGAGGAAACGAAAATCGAGCTTGTGTGTGTTGACTCCACCTCTTTTCATAGATGAAATTTCACAACCTTTTGGAATTTGACTACAAAAAAATGTCAATTGGTGACAAAAACAAAATTGTCACTAAGAGCTGTCATTAAACGATTTAGTGACCAAACTTTTGGTCATCACTTTTCATCACTATAGGTCCGTTACAAAAACTGATTAGTGACAAAATATAAAAGCGGTCGTTAAATAGTGACGAAATATACTGGTCACTAAATCTGTGACGACCTGCTTCGTCACTAAATGCCGTCACCGTCTTATCTAATTAGTGATCAGAAAAAGTCGTCGCTGTCTTATCCGATTAATGACCATAAAAAGTCTTCACTGTCATATCCGATTAATGACCATAAAAAGTCGTCACTGGTTTATCAAAGTAGTGACCATAAAAAATCGTCACTCATTTATCCAATAAGTTACAAAAAAAGTTTTCCACTGATTTTTGTTGCTATTTCTTATATTTAACCAATTTAAGTAACTAGCATGAAACTAGTCAATGGTAAAGATATAATATGATTCATTTATCAAAATTAATCCCATGAAATAATAAACATAATTTGTTCACAAATTTAATAGAACCTAGAGTATACAGTACTTAAATGACTAAAAAAAATATACAAAGTAGGGTTATACAAGATATTCAAAGAATATGGATTCGACTTCTTTACCATAAAAATATACAATGATTTGCTCCACTACAAAAAATATGTCGTTTAGTGGCAGACAAAAAGTGTCACTAAAAGCCTAAAAATGCCACTAAAAGCTTCTCAAAGAATCGGCGGCATACTTAATAAATGCTATTAGAAACGCTACCACTAAAACCTTTTAGTGATACTTTTTGTTTTTGATGTTGCAGTTTTTAGGCTTTCAGTGGCACTTTTTTATGTGTATTTCTTTTGTGACACGTATTTTGTACCACTAAATTTGATTTGATTCAATAATTTATGCTACTTTTAGTTACACTTTTTAAGATTTTAGTGACATTTTTTTATTTACCACAATAAAAAATAGTGGCATATTTTTATGTGTTACAGCAGAAGAAAATTTTTTGTTGCATACATTTTGTGCCATTAAAAAGCTCATGTGATCTAAAAAATTCATGCTACTTTTAGTTATAGTGAAAATTTTATTTGTCACAATACAATTTCATCTATAATATAAAATAAAATAAATAATTAAATTGTAGCATAATGAAAATAATCAAAATTTCATTGTTTTTCATTAATATTTTTTAAACTTTTTGAATCGAATATCTAGGTAAATATCAAATATATCTAAGTACATGTTAAACATAAAGTAATGAACAAAAGTTAAAACACGTATATAAAAATAAAATAAAATAAAAAACAAAGACATGCTATGTTGAATAAATTATGTTATCTCGAACTCTAGAATCAATGCTAGGAATTCCCTGCCCAAAAACAAACAAAGATAATCCAAAATCCAATGAAATAGGGCTTAGTTTAGAAAATAAATAATATAACACTCAACACAAATAAACTTTATTTATAAAAACAAAGGAAAGTGTAACACCCGGGATTAATAAGGTACTAATTATATTATTATTAGCTTAATGAATGGAATTGATTTGGGCTTGGACCATTAGATCCTTATGATGGGCTGAGAAGTGTCGTACGCGGGGCGTACTATGCCAAGTACGCTCAACGTACTCATGAGTCGAAGACATGTACGCCCAACGTACCAAATGGTACGCGCAACGTATGTATACAGATTCTAAAACCCTAAATTTTAGGGTTTGATCCCTACATAAAGGACCTTATGCATTTGGTCCATCCCCCCTCTCACCCTTAGACAACCACCATGAAAACCCTAACCCATATTTGTGTGGTCTTGTGATTTGGTAGCCACTTGAGAGCATTTTAGTGTTGTTTTGGAGTTTTGGAAGAGAAAAAGTTTGAAGAATGAGCAAGGATTCAAAGGGAGCTTGTAGATCCAACAGATTAGCACCATTTCTGACTCATTTGAGGTATCAAGTTTCAAACTTGATCATTGCATGCTTAGATTTGATTTTAGGGTGTTTTATGTCACTTTTGGACTCCATTGTTGAGGTTGCTTAAATCCTGATAGTTTCAGACCATAAGAGTTGTCCTTTTGAGCTCTTAGAAGCACTTAGAGTCATAAAAATCAGACCCTGATGGTTAAGCCACATCCATGCAAGTGTTTGATGGTCACAAAGTTTGGTTAAGGACCAAAATCATGTTTTGATCCCTAACCATGCATGCAAGCATATAACGTATGTGACTTTATGGACTAGGAGGTCTTAAAGGAGCTGGATCTACATTATGGATGTGAGGTCTTAATGGATTAAGTCACAAATGGAGCCCCAAGGAAGTTGGCAGGTACAATAGGCGTACACCCTCGTACGCTATGCGTACTGGCTCAACTTCCTACTTTTGGTCAAGGCCAGAGTACGGTGAGCATACGCGCTAGGTAGCATGCAGAGTGGTGAAATTGGGCTTTTGGGCCTTAGAAGTTTGGGTCTGGACAGTTAGGCCCCATGGTCCACTGTGGAGTAGAGTTTTTGGGCCTAGAACTGAGATTTAAAGCATTGGACCTTTTTGGCCATATTGTGCCACTCGAAACCATTTTTTTGGGCTAAGGATTTATTGGGCCTGTGATAAGGTCCATTTAAGGAGTTGGGCCCAATTTAGAAAATCGGGCCATTAGTGGGCTGGGAAAGATAAGATGGAATTGGGCCTGGGATGGTCTAAATTAGACCAAGGGGTAAAATGGTCATTTTACGAGGTGAGTTACCTTCCAGTAGAAGTGAGTCGAAGGCACCAATGTTGGCCCACTAGTAATTGTTTGTAGATGAGACGATTGTCTTTGTGATAATTGTCTGGTATGCCACCATTTGTAATGCTTTATGTGCTAGGATGCTATGATATTATGTGATAGTGGTAGGAGGGGTGAAATAGTCCTCGATTACCAGTTGAAAGAGACCGAAGGGGTAGATAGTACCCATATATGCCTAGCAGCATGTTTATGATATGTTATTATGTAGTAGTGGTAGGGGTGAAATAGTCCATGTAACTAGTTGAGATAAACCAAAGGGTAGGTCGGGCACACAGATATGCCTGACAAGGGTAGGTTGGGCACCCTGTTATGCCTAACAGGGGTAGGTTGGGCATTTCCTTCAGATGTTTACAGATATGCTATCTTCGGCCATTTCCGGTGGATATTGGGTATTTGTATCGCTTGGGAATTGTGATAAGTTGGATCTCGGGTCGGTTTTCTGCTATTGTCTGGGTTAGCAAGGGTTTTCAGATGCCATTCTTCATGTCGAGGAATCTTTGAGAGATCTTTATACGGATGTATCTCACGGAGCAGATTTTGTGTGTACCGTGATTACTCCGAGTCATTGTTGGAATCTGTTTAGTGATATGGGTTGCTACGGGTGTAGTAGGTTTGGCCGCATCTTTAGGGATTGCCCATAGGGAGGAGCCGTGAGTGCACCTGCTCCAGTTATCTTCGAGGTTGGTTCAAGGGCTTGGACAGGGGAATTATGACTAGTTTTCAGTAGGCTTAGTTTTTATGTTTGGAAGAGCCATCGGGATTGCCGAGGGAAGATAAAGTTGTCTTTGAGGTTTGGTTAGACTATCCGTTCATTGGACTCCGAGATCTAAGCGTGATAACGCTTTTTAAGCGTGTTAAGTCATTGACGTTGTTTGGATATAGGAAGTGTTAGCTGGATTTCAGGAAGTGTGCTGTTTGGGTAGGGATATTTTTGGTATGCTAGCTTTAGTAAGCATCGGCCGTCAGCAAGGTAAGCATGGGAACGTAATGAGGATTGGTAATCCTTCAATTTTCATGTGCCGAGCGGACTTAGTTGAATCTAAGTGGGGGAGAACCGGCCAGGCATCCAGGGGTAGAAGCACGGGTGAAAGTGATGTCAGACTACGGGGAGCCGTAACATTCACTAATGGTAAGTTAGGGTATAGTGTTGTAAGACTGCAGACGAGCTATAGCATTCACTAGCAATAGAGAGTGTTGTAAGACTATGGGGGTGCCGTGGCATTCACGGATCCTTTCAGGTGATTTGGTCTGGGGTAGGCTAGTTCGCAGCGTTGTGGGGGAGCCACAACTTAGTTAGGATTAGGACCAAAGGTGATTGACCGAATAGTTATTCGGGGGCGAGCCCGGATGGTTATGCGAATTAAGATGGAACCGGTAGAGACTGTTAAACTAAGGGTTGGACCTTGTGATACATGATCTTGTGGTCGAGTAGTGCATGTTTCTGTAGGGCTACAGCTGGGTAGCCATGTTATTGGATCTCATAAGAACCTGGTGGTTGGACCGGGTGCGAGACTGGAAATCTCAGGAATTGGCTAAGGGTATTTATTAATCGACCGAGTAAAGGATGACGGGAAGTCATGGTGCATTATGCAAGTACCGATTCAAGGATTCTAGGATAGGAGCACAATAACAATTCGGATTTGGATAGGAACCCGAATCGGAATTCGTGTAGGATTTTGTTTCAGTGAGATGAGATGTGGGGCATCAATATGCCAAGGGCATCGAGGGCAGAATTACAGGGTGGTGAACGGGTTGGTTTAATGGTAGTCTAAGCCATTTTCATGTGTCTCAAGTGGCTCTATCCGTAATAGAGCCACGACATGTTGGAATCAGGAAACGCAAGGTTAAGGAGGTCGGGTATGATGTAAGACTACAATTATTATGGTAGTATTCACCTTTTTACGTCGGATTCAGTTGGCAGACAGGTTGGGAACAGGGAGGTCCCCGGTTGTTCTTCAGGAAAGCAACCATGTGGAAGCAAGAGGAGTAGGAGCAACTTCAATGATTTGGGGTCTGTGTGTGGAATTGCTTGTTATTCAGTAGTCGCAGTTGATCGGTGATTTTGTTCTTTAGGAAGCCCCAAGGTATTGCGAGTGAGAAGTATTCTATCTAGGATGGTTTCTTGTGAAATCAGTTCGATGATGATTTGATGTGGGCAGTCTGTTAGGGAGGCAGACCATCTCGAACTTCAGATTTCGGATGAATCAGATGTGATGAGGTTACAAGGAATTCGTTCATCTTCGGGTTCTAGAACCCTATGAGGATTGGTTTCGGTTGCCTCGGGTAGGCTATGGTATTCACAAGTTTGTGGCAGTGTTGCTCATGTTGTCTGGTATGTCGAGAATGGTGATCATTGATTTCGAGGATGAAGTCTAAATGAAATCTAATTTAAGTGAGGGAGAGTTGTAACACCCAGTTTTGAAAGTGTCCGATTGTGTCTTTGGAGGCCAAGGGTATAAGCGTAATCTGACAATTTGGTCTTTTATGGGTCTCAAGTCTTATTTGGAAGGTTGTAGGGCTCGGGTTTGGAGCTGGGAGCATAGGGTTTCTCATCACCTTTTTGTGGATATGAAGTTCGTAGGAAACGGACTTAGAATGAAGAAGTTATGGTACTTTGAAGATATTGGCATTTTTGGTCCTTAGTAGAGAAAAGTGGCAAGGATATCCCATGCATGCAAGGTGGCCAACTCAAGAGTACGCCTAGCGTAAGATGGGGTACACTTAGCTTGGAGGGGATAAGTGGTCGCAGGTGTTGGAGACGTACGCCCAGCGTACGAGAAGTATGCCCCTAAACCCTAATTTTTAGGGTTGGCTCACTATTTAAAGCACCTTAAGTCCGAGGGGGAGCGCCTCCCTTTCATTCTCAGAGCCTTAAACCCTAAATTCGAGTGGTAGCTTCATCCAAGAGTGTTGTGAGCTTTGTGGGTGCATTTTGGGTGGTTTTTGGTGCATTTCAAGAAGATGGAGCTTGTTGCAAAGATGGTAATCAAGGAGGAGCGTGTGGATCTGGCATTTGGGTCTCATTCTCAGCTTGATGAAGGTATAAAGCTTTGATCTTGATCATTCATCTCTTAGATCTACCTTTGGGAGTTCTAGTTCATTTTGGTCCCAAGGATGGAGCTTTATGGGTGAAATCTGATCCTTAGGCTTAGAGTTGCCACTTTTTGTGTTAAATGAGTCCCTAAGGCATAAAGTTGCCATCTTGGAGGTCTTAATGGGTTCATGCATGAGTTAAGACCATTTCCATGGAAGTAGATTATCATTTTTGGAGATTGAGCTTATGTGGGTCATGCAAAGCCATCAAGTAAGCAACTTTAGGCTTTAAGATGTTGAAGAGCACTTGGATATGCAATTGTAGCTTCTGGAGTAGAGTAGTAAGAACTTAATGGAAAAGTGGCTTAACAGAGGAGTACAATGGGCATACATGCAGGTACGTGCAACGTACACTCCATTCAGCCAGTACGCTTAGCGTACAGAAGAGTACGCCCCGGTTTGGGATTGATATTTATTTGTGGAGGCCCATTATGGTTTTGAGCCTAATTTGGTATTGGGCCATTAAAGGACTTACGGACATTATAGTGTTGGGCTTTTGTTTTGGGTTTCGGCCTTAGTTTTGGATCATACTGGGCCAGGGGTAGAATGGTTATTTTACCACATGCATGGATTAAGGATTTTGTTATGGGACCCAATCGTTAATTGGGTATATTGTTTGGTAGTGACAGCTCGGGAAGCTGGCGGGGCAGCAGCTAAGGAGTTCATGCGGGAAGCTTCTGCAACGCGAGGTGAGTCTTCTCACCATACCAATGGATCTAAGGCACCAAGGCCGGCCTATTTTATGATAGTTAGTATACTTTTTGTGTAGAGGTGTGTGACATATTTATGTAGTGATACGTGGTAGAGATAGCTTTTACAGCTGATGGTAGAGATAGCCTTTTTGGCTGATGGTAGAGATAACCTTTGGGGCTAACGGTAGAGATAGCCTTTGGGGTTAACAGTAGAGAGAGCCCTTGGGGCTAAGGGTAGAGATAGCCTTTGTGGCTAATGGTAGAGGCAACTTTATAGTCGATTGATATGTGATATGTGGTAGAGGTAGCTTTCATAGCTAATTGATCTGTATTATGTGGTAGAGGCAGCTTTTATAGCTAATTGATTTGTGGAATGCGGTAGGGATAGATCTATAGCTAATTGATGTGCGATATATGGTAAAGATAGCTTGTATATCTAATATGATATGTGATATATGTTATGTGGATTATGTGTGGGGTATGCTCTGGGGGACTCACTAAGCTTTGTGCTTACGGTTTATAATTTTGGTTTCAGATATCATCGATTTGGAAACGAAGAGCTTGGATGGATCGTAGTGCACACACCTATGATTTCCGCAATGAATGATTTTGGGATGAACTCTGATAAATGTTTTACTTAATGATGATTTGAAATGTTTAATAAACAATATCCACACTTGATTCAAATGAGAAGTATTTGATTAAGATTTGAGTTGTATTAGATTTGATATTCACATTTTTCTAGTACGGGATATGTGTTAACCATGGTTGTTAAGATCAGTATACCATATCATTTTCCGTTTTGCAAGATCATGATCGTAAGGTCAAATCGGATCGTAAGATCCTACCAAAAACATTTTAAAACATAAAAAATATATATTCATCCATCAGTTAACTATCCAGTTAACAATAAATATTTTAAAACATAAAAATTGCATTTACAATACATTATTTGATGATAAAGAATTCAAAATGGTATTCTACGTATTTAGTCCAAAAATATATTTGAATTATTTTTAAAAAACATAGTATCGATCCTACGATCTTACGATCCGATCCTACGATTCTACGTGATCCTACCAAAAAACGAGTCAAGTATGATTGGGATCGATATACATAGGTGAGATCGTACGATCAAGATCACGATTTGAACAACCATAGTATCAACTGTATCCTATATCCCTATCCCATTACTCTTTTTCTAGTAGTGTATGATGCAACTTTAATACAAAATATAATGTATAAGGTTATATAGTTAAATCTAAATTGGTTTTTACAAGTATATACCCTTTAAATATATGTAAACAATTATAAATGATCAAATTAGAAAAGTTGAAATTAATGATTAGCAATTGATGGTATTATCATAAATTAATTAGGAATGTACATTATTTGTTATAATTTAGATATAAACTTATATATTTTTCCTAAAAATAGCAATGTATTTATTAGGGAATGTACATTATTCTTAGTTATAACATTCTACTCATATTATTATTATTATTATTATTATTATTATTATTATTATTATTATTATTATATTTATTTATTTATTTATTTATGTATTTATTTTTGCAAATCTTTTATTAGTTATTAGGATTTTAAATTATCAAAAATATTTTTTTTCTCAACTGTAGTTTCCATGGGTTTAAACATAACCAACTTGATAATATATTACTCATATTCATATATAATAATGAAGGGTTATTTCATATTGAAATATGTTAGCCATTGATTTTTCACAGTACTAAAAATACATAACATAAAATATAGTAATATACAACATATAATTACATAAAAATCAAAGTATATACATATGAAATAAAAGCATTATAAAAAATCAGGAAAAAATATTTCTCCCAAAATTGGTGAATATTATTGGCACTATACCGTATAAACCAATTACATATTTTAATGATAAGCGAAAAGACGAGATAATGAGTTACTAATATTGCATTAACATATATGTAATGGAATATGTGAGTATTAAATGTGATTTAGTGTGGATAACCTAGATGTCTAAAATCTCAAGGGTGTTATTGAAATAAACGAGGGCTAAAATCAATTAATTCACCTTTTAAGTTTTGCCCTTGATGAGTTGATTGACACATCGTATCTTCTATGTCCATATTCACTTTTAGTATTTCACATTATATTCATATGTATGATAGTGTGTCGGTGAGTAAGAGATTATTTACACGAAAAGCATGAAGATATGGATGGTGGAAATAGAGATAATAGTCAACAAGTTTTATATGAACCATATGGTTTCGAAAGTTGCTATAGAAAATGTGGTGACGATGTCTATCTCATCTTCTATTATGCGTTCTGTTTACATGAAGATGCACGAAACACCAAGGAGGTCACCTTGATGAAGAAGGTAGAAATTGGTTAGTGGGATGGGGGAGGGGGGATATTTTTATTAAAGTGTATATAAATTATAAAAAAATAATAGAAAAGGTTGAAAAAATATAATATAAGGGTATGTTTTATGTTTGTGAAGGACAATAACCAAACAAAAAAAAAAGTTATAAAAATTAAAGGACTGTTTGAGTGAAAAAGAATTAGTAGAGATGAAAGCTGCAAATAACGGCAAACCACATGAGCAATTTATGTAATTTACTCAAAAATTCTAATTTGCACAAAAATCGATATTGCTGTAATGCACGAAAATCGATATTGCTGTATATAAAAGGTGGTTTCTGGTGTTAGGGTTTAGGCAACTCGTAGATTGTAATTTCTTCGATTAAGAGGTATGTCATTCTCAAACCATAGATATTAGGGCATTCGAATTTCACATTTCTGGATGCTTTTACTTTTGAAATTCTTTGCATCAGTTGATTGGAATTGATAATTCAAAAGGGTATTAAATAAGCAGGCGACCGTGTTATTAGGAGAAGATGTATCTCCTTCTGCTTTTTGTCTGTTGTATTAGCGAAATTATGTTAATTTGACCGATCGATTTCTGGAGTAGTTCAAATCTATATCGATGCTGCAGTACTTACAAAAATGCCAGACCAATACCATTTTCATTTCAAATTCAGACCTTCTACGCTTCAAATTCTAATATTTACACGGATGTTTGAGATTTTAACTTTTAATCTTCATGGTGATAGCTATTTGCTGTTTAATGTACACATCTTTTTTTTTTCTTTAAATCTTTAATCAAAATAATTCTTATCAAGTTTTGAAGTTGCTTAAATACCACATTTGACATTGTTTTTATTATTTTGTTTTTAGGCTATACTGATGATATGGGTATCCGACAATTAGCCTAATAAGATGGAATTGGGGATTTTTTTCTCTATCATCTGATCATTCGTATGTCACTTTTTTATTTAGTTTTGCATTTGAGAAATACATTTTTATATCTCTTCTTATGGTGTTAAAGGTTAATAACATCTTTTGGTGTATCCACTTTTATTACAAGTGCAAAAATTCGGTTCCCAGTTAGTTTTTTTTAAAAAAAAAAAAAAAAAAAGGAAGATTGGTTATGATGTATTATTATGTCTATCACTTTTTTGGATACATAATTCCAATAAACCATGTCTTGGTCAAGATAACAGTCATCCACATACAGCTAGCTAAAAGAGTTATCATACTGCTACGAACTCAAAAATTGAAAGAGAATTAAGAACAGAGATTCAGAGAATAAGTGATTGTAATGTCAAATTGCAATTCAAAATTAAAAGCTTTGAAAAAGAGAACCATAGCTAGTTCGAGGGGCTAGTTTCTCCCTAGATAAAATACCATATATGAAAATAAGATTACTCTCTCTCTCTCTCTCTCTCTCTCTCTCTCTCTCTCTCTCTCCCCCCTACCCGTACGCCTTATAAATACACCGTAACAATGTAAATATTGTGAGATACCTAAATTACCCCTTCACTAAAGATGCTCATTTATTTTGCGAAGTTTCCAAAAAGAAAAACGTGGACTTAAATGGATGTGTAGCACATATTTTCAAACAACCTTGATACATTTACAATTGAAGTGGAAAAGTAGTCAAGATGTGATTTGAGGAATCCATGTTAGGAAATAGAATTTGTTCAAGAGACCCCTCTGCCAGAGGCCGTAAGATGATAAGACCAGCCCTATAAGCAGCACTACCTGATGCATTATTACCGCCATGTTCCTTTCCATATTTAGTTGCATTAGGATCCAACATGTATATATATCAGAGGTATTCTTATAAGCTATTATCTAAGTAATTGATTTAATTTTACATTATAAAGTGCAGTTGATATGGGATTGTGATTTGTGGAGCCAAAAGAGAAGGAATGATGGTTATCTAGCTAAAAGCAGAAAAGAAGCATCAATGAGAATGGATATGGATTCTAAATTGTGTTCGGAATCAAGGGAAAATTAACTAGGATATATTGTATCTATGTGCCTGACTGCATATCTGAACGAGGTATAACAACAGAGAATGGAGTTTGATCATGATCATGATCATGTTAGGAGGCGAGTGGTGGAAGAAGACAGATTGAGCAGCTTGCCAGATGAGCTTATTCATAAGATCCTTTCCTGTTTTGACATGAAATATGCTGTTCAAACATGTTCGTTGTCATCAAGATGGGAGTTTCTCTGGACATCAATGCCTTGTCTTAACTTGTCAAGTAGGGAGTTTAGCTGTTTACCAAAGTTTGCCAAATTTGTGAATCATGTTTTGACTCACCGCAACCATCAAGTAGAAGTGTCTTCTGTAAAGCTACATTTCAATGGAGCAGCTAGTCAGGTTTTCGTGAGAAAAATTGCAAGTTATATGTTCTCTCACAATGTCCAACAACTAACTGTTGTTTGTTTTCCCAAAAAACACCATGAATTCCCTCCTTCCCTTTTTAGCTCTCAGACTCTTAAGCATTTCACATTGAGTAACCGCCCTCTTTATACTTCACCTTGCCTTACACCCAAAACACCTTGGGATTTTCCAGCTTTAGCAACTTTGCATCTTAGCCACATCACATTGTGTGATGATCACACCGAGAAGTCTGTTGATCTTTTCTCCAAATGTGTAAACTTAAAGAACCTCACTTTGGAGTGGTTCACTGTCGAGGCTATTGACATCATTACCCCTCGACTTTCTAATCTCGTGCTTATCAAAGGCAGACGCTCATTGGTCATCAACCTGGTTGCACCTCAACTTGAACATCTCACAATAATTGATTGTTCAATCGATTACTTGAATGCTCCACCAGGGCTTTCATCTTTGTGCTACACGGGTGATCTTCCTCAACAATTCTCCAAAGATGGATTTCATTCTCTGAACAAAGTGTCTATCTGTTGTGATATGTATAGGCAATATAAGGAGAAAGTGGCACGCAAGGCTATTAAAATGCTTCAAGAGCTCCACAGTGCCAGATATCTCACACTTAATGTGGACTTTATTGAGGTATGTTGATATCGATCATGTCACCCCATTTATGACATTCAGTGCTGCTGTCAAATGGGTGTATGATATAAATGAAGTTCAAGATGAGATTTTAATGCATCTTTAATGTATAAATTTGTTGTCAATTTTTTTTTTTGCAGTGTCTTTCCTCTTATCCAAATTTATTATCACACCATCCATCACCTTTTAGCAGCTTAATCTGCTTGACTATAGACTCTAGCACGAGGAATGATGCATACAATGTAAAAATGTCTACCGAAGCTAGAAACTTCTTTCTTGAGAACTCTCCAAATGCCACATTCATCATGGAATTACCCGAGGTACTTTTACAGAATCATATACTCATTGCAACCGTTTTCTCTTAAATTAAAAATTCTTGTAAACTCTGTAGCCTCCACCTACAAAAGCAATGAAGCAGAAAGAAGCTAGGGCAAAAAAGGCTAAACGCGCTGCAGAGATTGCAATCCATATGACAGAATTCCAGGCATTGTTAGATCATGATAATATGAATGTTGAGCGAACACAAGCAAAGGAAAAGGTTAATGTTACCCTTGAGAAGCTCATGGCACAATCAAAAGCTCAAGTAGGGAAGATGCATAACCAGACTGAGAGACTTATGGCAGAGTTTAAGATCTGTGTGGAAGAGGTGCGGGATTTGGTTAATGAAGAAGAAGCAGAAGTTAAAGCAATCATTTCAAAGGGAACCCTAATAAGATCATTACTGGAAGATATGCCTAAGAGAGAGAGGACAGAGGTCGAAGCACGCTACTCTCGACAGCTTGAAGAAATAGAAGCACAACATGTTCGTCTAGCCTCTAGGCTTGTGACTTTAGAAGGAATCTTAGCTTGTGAACAATTCATGTCTCATTGCATCTCAAAATATCTGGCATCATCTAATTCCTCCACAACAGTAAGTTTCTGATTTCATTTATGACTCTGAGTATTCCAAAATCCAATATTGATGGCTTTTTAACTTTGCTTAATGTAAGATTCCTACACCCTCCACATCGAGCATCAACCCTATGCCGTGAACCACCCACCCAGGTAACCCTTATTCTCTACAACAGTAATTACTACTTAATTAGCGGGGTGGGATGCGTTGGTGGAAATGATTTTTTTTTTTTTTTTTTTTTCAAAAAAGAGGCTGATTCAATACCAGTTTCGAACGACGTTACTAATCTGAGATATGGTTTTTGTTTTTGAAAAACTCTCGAATTAGTAACGAGAACGAATACCTTTTTTCCTTAAATTCTAGAACGAACTGGATACACCAAGTTTCACTCCGGCCAATTTGGTATAAATTCAGCTAAATTATTGTTATTATATTTTCTAGTGATGTAGTTTATTAAAAATAATCTATGTATATATTTTTATTAATTTATAGTTAATTAATTAAGTAAATATATTGAAAAGGTTGGGGGTTATACAATGCAAATAAAAAAACAAAGGCTTAAAACTTTATATAAATAGAAACAAAATAGATAAAACTTATAAAATAATAATACCTTTATTAGTCACATATTACAAATAAGGGTTAATGCATGACTTTTAGTAGTGAGATTCAGCCGTAACTTTAACACGTAGCTTCAACTTTTATTGGCAGGGATGTTAATGATTATGCCAATATGAAGATGTTAGTCCTCATTGGATTCATGAAAAAGTCGGATGTATCATCGTTTGAATTGGGTTTTGTTACATAAATTAATGAATCTTACTCTTTTGGTTCTTTTTTCTACAGATTTTTTTTTATTACTATATGCCTTAGCGAATGTTAATGATTTTTTTTTTGAAGATTACAACACAAAAACTCAGTTCTTTACAACAATGTCACTCCTTGCAATAATGTCACTCAATTTCTTTTTGTTGTTCCTCTAGTTGACTGTTTCACAGCTCTCGATAGCAGCTTTCATATAAAAATAAGCATCGTCGGTGAAAATTCTTTGCAACAACAAAAATGCTAATGTTATGGGCAAAAGTGGAAATGAGTTGTGAATTGAACAAAAACAATAGTCTTCTTCACAGAGATAATCACATTGGTTGGTACTAGAGGACTTTGCAACCGCGTTTATCTTATTTTATTCATCATGTATGACCTATAGACATACTTTTGACCACAAAGATATTTGAAAGAAATGAGGAAACGAAAATCGAGCTTGTGTGTGTTGACTCCACCTCTTTTCATAGATGAAATTTCACAACCTTTTGGAATTTGACTACAAAAAAATGTCAATTGGTGACAAAAACAAAATTGTCACTAAGAGCTGTCATTAAACGATTTAGTGACCAAACTTTTGGTCATCACTTTTCATCACTATAGGTCCGTTACAAAAACTGATTAGTGACAAAATATAAAAGCGGTCGTTAAATAGTGACGAAATATACTGGTCACTAAATCTGTGACGACCTGCTTCGTCACTAAATGCCGTCACCGTCTTATCTAATTAGTGATCAGAAAAAGTCGTCGCTGTCTTATCCGATTAATGACCATAAAAAGTCTTCACTGTCATATCCGATTAATGACCATAAAAAGTCGTCACTGGTTTATCAAAGTAGTGACCATAAAAAATCGTCACTCATTTATCCAATAAGTTACAAAAAAAGTTTTCCACTGATTTTTGTTGCTATTTCTTATATTTAATCAATTTAAGTAACTAGCATGAAACTAGTCAATGGTAAAGATATAATATGATTCATTTATCAAAATTAATCCCATGAAATAATAAACATAATTTGTTCACAAATTTAATAGAACCTAGAGTATACAGTACTTAAATGACTAAAAAAAATATACAAAGTAGGGTTATACAAGATATTCAAAGAATATGGATTCGACTTCTTTACCATAAAAATATACAATGATTTGCTCCACTACAAAAAATATGTCGTTTAGTGGCAGACAAAAAGTGTCACTAAAAGCCTAAAAAATGCCATTAAAAGCTTCTCAAAGAATCGGCGGCATACTTAATAAATGCTACTAGAAACGCTACCACTAAAACCTTTTAGTGATACTTTTTGTTTTTGATGTTGCAGTTTTTAGGCTTTCAGTGGCACTTTTTTATGTGTATTTCTTTTGTGACACATATTTTGTACCACTAAATTTGATTTGATTCAATAATTTATGCTACTTTTAGTTACACTTTTTAAGATTTTAGTGGCATTTATAGTGGCATATTTTTATGTGTCACAGCAGAAGAAAATTTTTTGTTGCATACATTTTGTGCCATTAAAAGCTTATGTGATTTAAAAAATTCATGCTACTTTTAGTTATAGTGACAATTTTATTTGTCACAATACAATTTCATCTATAATATAATATAAAATAAATAATTAAATTGTAGCATAATGAAAATAATCAAAATTTCATTGTTTTTCATTAATATTTTTTAAACTTTTTGAATCGAATATCTAGTTAAATATCAAATATATCTAAGTACATGTTAAACATAAAGTAATGAACACAAGTTAAAACATGTATATAAAAATAAAATATAATAAAAAACAAAGACATGCTATGTTGAATAAATTGTGTTATCTCGAACTCTAGAATCAATGCTAGGAATTCCCTACCCAAAAACAAACAAAGATAATCCAGAATCCAATGAAATAGGGTTTAGTTTAGAAAATAAATAATATAACACTCAACAGAAATAAACTATATTTATAAAAACAAAGGAAAGTGTAACACCCGGGATTAATAAGGTACTAATTATATTATTATTAGCTTAATGAATGGAATTGATTTGGGCTTGGACCATTAGATCCTTATGATGGGCTGAGAAGTGCCGTACGCGGGGCGTACTATGCCAAGTACGCTCAACGTACTCATGAGTCGAAGACACGTACGCCCAACGTACCAAAGGGTACGCGCAGCGTATGTATACAGATTCTAAAACCCTAAATTTTAGGGTTTGATCCCTACATAAAGGACCTTATGTCTTGGGTCCATCCCCCCTCTCACCCTTAGACAACCACCATGAAAACCCTAACCCATATTTGTGTGGTCTTGTGATTTGGTAGCCACTTGAGAGCATTTTAGTGTTGTTTTGGAGTTTTGGAAGAGAAAGAAGTTTGAAGAATGAGCAAGGATTCAAAGGGAGCTTGTAGATCCAACAGATTAGCACCATTTCTGACTCATTTGAGGTATCAAGTTTCAAACTTGATCATTGCATGCTTAGATTTGATTTTGGGGTGTTTTATGTCACTTTTGGACTCTATTGTTGAGGTTGCTTAAATCTTGATAGTTTCAGACCATAAGAGTTGTCCTTTTGAGCTCTTAGAAGCACTTAGAGTCATAAAAAAAGACCCTAATGGTTAAGCCACAACCATGCAAGTGTTTGATGGTCACAAAGTTTGGTTAAGGACCAAAATCATGTTTTGATCCCTAACCATGCATGCAAGCACATAACTTATGTGACTTTATGGACTAGGAGGTCTTAAAGGAGCTGGATCTACATTATGGATGTGAGGTCTTAATGGATTAAGTCACAAATGAAGCCCCAAGGAAGTTGGTAGGTACGATAGGCGTACACCCTGATACACTATGCGTACTGGGTCAACTTCCTACTTTTGGTCAAGGCCAGAGTACGGTGAGCATACGTGCTAGGTACGCCATGCATACACATGCAGAGTGGCGAACTTGGGCTTTTGGGCCTTAGAAGTTTGGGCCTCGATAGTTAGGCCCCATGGTCCTCTGTGGAGTAGAGTTTTTGGGCTTAGAACTGAGATTTAGAGCATTGGGCCTTTTGGGCCATATTGCGCCACTCAAAACCATTTTTTTGGGCTAAGGATTTATTGGGCCTGTGATAAGGCCCATTTAAGGAGTTGGGCCCAATTTAGAAAATCGGGCCATTAGTAGGCTGGGAAAGATAAGATGGAATTGGGCCTGGGATAGTCTAAATTTGACCAAGGGGTAAAATGGTCATTTTACCCTAAGAGGTATTATGGATTTTGACTAAGTGTTGTTATGATAATGATAGCGGGGGAGTCATCGGAGCAGCTGTTAGAGATTCCTTACTGTGATATTCGATACTCAGCTTTACGAGGTGAGTTACCTTCTAGTAGAAGTGGGTCGAAGGCACCAATGTTGGCCCACTAGTAATTGTTTGTAGTTGAGACGATTGTCTTTGTGATAATTGTCTGGTATGCCACCATTTGTTATGCTTTATGTGCTAGGATGCTATGATATTATGTGATAGTGGTAGGAGGGGTGAAATAGTCCTCGATTACCAGTTGAAAGAGACCGAAGGGGTAGACAGTACCCATATATGCCTAGCAGTATGTTTATGATATGTTATTATGTAGTAGTGGTAGGGGTGAAATAGTCCATGTAACTAGTTGAGATAAACCAAAGGGTAGGTCGGGCACCCACATATGCCTGACAAGGGTAGGTCGGACTCCCCAGTATGTCTGACAGGTGTCGGTTGGGCACCCTGTTATGCCTAACAGGGGTAGGTTGAGCACCCCGGTATGCTCAGTAGGGTAGGTCGGGCACCTAGATATGTCTGACAGTATGTTTATTGTATGGTATGTGGTATTATGGGGGAACTCACTAAGCTTCGTTCTTATGGTTTACATTATTGGTTTCAGGTACCTCTTCTTCGAAGGGAAAGGAGTTGGCATGACTGCAGCCCATCGCACACTCGATTTTCTACACATGAGAGTCTTAGGATTTGTACTCTGGCATTATTTTCCTATGATATGTTTTTGAGAGATATTAGCATATGGTTTTTCATGATATGAAATAACATTGGTGGAATATTCGGTAATTTGTTTGTTGAATCTTTAAATTAAAATTTGAAGTTTTTGGTCTTGAATTTTGGGATGTTACAAGTTGGTGTCAGAGCCTTGGTTTGAGGGATTCGGACACACCTTCGGGGTGTCTGGACTCAAATCGAGGGTTTGAAAGATTTTTACAAAAAAATAATTTTTCTAAAATCTAAAATAAAAAAGTTTTTGATAAAGAACAAGGAGTGTGATGCGTGTAATCAATCGAGCTCAAGTAAATTTTCCACAAGATACCCATACATGTTTGCTATGATATATGAGATGACTATAAGAACCGCATGGATTAGAGCTAAGGATCTAGGAAGGATGCCTTACATGCCTACTGTATGTCTATGAGAACTGCATGCTAGATTATGGCTAAGGATCTAGGAATGATGCCTTACATGCCTACTGTATGTGTATGAGAACTGCATTCTAGATTAGGGCTAAGGATCTAGGAAGATGCCTTATGTGCTTGTTTTAAGTTCTTCTTGAGTTGCATGATAGTACTGACTGGTCGGAGATATGATAGCCTGATTAGGATATGCTTGGTTTGGGTTACTCAATGCTCGAATGCTACGTGCTTTGTGCTTTTAGGGGTCCTATGAATACGTTAAGTTACATATTGCAAGGACTAAATAATTCCAGAAGGTTAGGTCTAGCCCTATTTTGCAGCTCTTGTTTGAGTCCAACCGTTGTAGGGTAGGACCCCTCATTTGAAGAATTATCTAGACTTAACAATATCTAATGGTATTCACGAGCTAGTTAGGGAGAGATAGCAGGGACTTCTTATGCAACTAATGGCGGAGAGTGGGTTGGAGGTTACCCTAGGGTAAGTCTAGGATGAGATTAGTGCAACGAACAGTATTAGTGAAAGGGACTTGGTGAAGTCAAGGCAATCCTTGAGGACAGTACGGATAGATGTGGAAGGTAGTATCGACACGTACTACTGAAAGCATATGATCCGTACTCGAGTCAAGGAGGGCTGAGATAGAACCAGGGAAATTGTAGAGTGTGTGAGACCTCTCAAGGTTATGAATGACCCTGATGATTATGTGTTTTGTTTTCGAATGGTGATGACACATCACGGAGCAGGAGGTTC